TTTGCCACCTGACACATTTATCTTTGTTCCATTCATTTTATATTTGTGCTGGAGTGTGATCTGCTATAAATACCCAGAGCCCTGAAAACTAGGAGGATTAGAGCCATCCTGCAGAGAACAGACAGAAGCAAACACCTCCAAGTTCCTTCTGCTCTTCCAGCATTGACAACAGAAGTGCAAAGCTTCTGGGTAAGAGAGGTTCAGCCAGGACAGCTTGTATCTGGGTAGTGTAGCTCTCCTTTCCTGCTCACCTCCAATAGCCCTTCTCTTTGATGGCTTCTATGACCTTGCATGTCAGGATTTGGGCTGCTCTGGTGGCCAGAAACCAGAGCAACCACATTTGCAGGATGGGTCCCAGGCCCTTCTAGATTTCCCAGTCTACTGAGAAGTGCCAGCTGGGAGTCCTTGGGGAAGAGCTCTATAAGAGCAAGCTCTATGCTCCAGAACGAGGCTCAGCAGCACAGGGCTTCCTGTTTTCTGTAGTGCCTGCTTCTGACCCTGCTGTGTTTCCTGCCTTGCCATGTTGCCTCAGCAGCACAGGTCCTCCTGTGTTTCGCTGTGCCTGTACCTTGCCTGACTGTCCTTGATCCTGGACCCTGCTGTGTGTCCTGCCTTTCCATGTTGCCTGGCTGTTGTGTCTGCCTCTTGCCTGACCATGTTGCCTCAGGAAGACAAGGCTTCCTGTGAGCTCTTGTTCAGCTTCTGCATCTTGCTAGAGCCTTGCTGCATCTGGTTCCTGCTCCTCGTGTATCTTGCCTTGCTGTGTATCTTACCTTGGCATGTATCCTACCTAGCTGTGCATCCTGCAATGCAGTGGCTCCTGTCCCCTTGTCAGTGTCTGGGGCATGGGTGGCTGGGTGTCAGGTCAGGGCACCAGGACCCAGACAACCAGTACAATATATAGGTGCATTCGAAATCATAGGCAGTCCAGAGATCAGGGTGGGTAACAGAAGAGCAAGGTAAGCCAATCCAAATAGAGCAGAGCAGTCAATGCCAGTCAGGAGTCAGAAGCCAGAGAGACAAGCCGAGGAGAAGCAGATATCTGGGACTGGAGCAAAAACTGGAGCAGGTGAAGCCGGGCATGGTCCAGAAGCAGGAGCAGGAGCAAGGTGATGGGCAGAGTTCCCAGAAGCAGGTTCCAGAAGGCACAGGGCACTCCAACAACATCAAGTCCTTTTGTTGCTGAGGCCACA